ATATATATATATATATCGCTATGTACTGCTGCAAATTCACAATACCAGCTTTGTATTCCTGTGGTTTAGTACCATTTTTATTTTTGGTCGTTTTTTTTATTCGCCCGCGCGCACTAGTTTGGTGGTCTTCGGAGGATGTCAACCATAAAATTAAGTCGGTGTGGCCTATTAAAGTGTAAAAGGTCGAGGTCGGCAGATGGTGGAAGCAATCCAGACAGTATATATAACTTATAACGTTATTTTCTAGTACTGCACTGAATATGTTCTTTCTCCCTTTCTAGGACAGGTAAAACCAAACGGGGTCACACGACTTAGTCAGAAAGCCCGGCCTTTACAGAACAAAATCGCACCAGTGTGTTGAGAATGAATGGGCCTTTGCCGCACACCCGGCAGAGTAAACTTAGGCCGACATTTGTCTCTTTTTTCACAGCGACATCATTAACGCGTTTGTCAGAGATAAGACTGGTTCTCATGTGTGCACAACTTAGAGCGGAATTTTCCCCCCGTCCTACTTTTTTCAGTTTACGTAATCCTTACAGTCGTTTTGGTGAAGTTGTACTCAATACGTTCGAAAAGATGCCAACCACAGCTGAGCAAAATTATACATGCGTTGTCGGGAGAGGAGTGTCTGAAATACATTGTACTAGCAATATTAATCTCCAAGCAGATCTTTTAATGTGGCTGCAAAGACACTATGAAATTGGCCAGGCTGTATCCATTTGCCAGCAGTAATTACCATGTGCAATTCGTGTGGCGGGCGTAGAAAAAGTAAAGGCACCAATACAAAATAAGAAAACGCGATAAAATGCCTAAAACGCGTTAAATCTAAGCCGAAAGCTAAACCTCCGCTTGGAGAGTATGTATGAACCAGCCTGGGTGCCCGGTGATGTTGTCTACATGGGCCGAACTTTGTTCTGGTAACTAGGCGTTCACAACAAAAGAGAACTTGACGAAGGCGTTTTCTAAAAAAAGTGACCTACAGGAAAAAAAAATTCCACACACTGAACTGTGAGGGAGAATCGGGAAGGCCACAAAATATCGCGCTGCTATAGAAACCAAACTTGAAACAAACCGTGCTGCTTTCTGTCGACAGTTCTTACCTCGCTACGCTGAAATGTTGGGCTTCGCTGTTCTGCCTGGGGTGTAGTCTTGTGGCTTGGTGAGGGGTTTTCTTGAATTGGGGGGTAACACGAACGGAAGGAGATGTCTAGTTAGTAAGACCACCGCCACAAAACCCGACCACCTGGTAGAGATCTCATCATCCGACTTACGGAGAGGCCGACATCCGCGACAGGTGACTGTGTGTAATGTTGCGTCAACGTTTGATCACGTGGTTCAGCATGACAGCGGAGTTACTATGCAGTTTGGACTTGCATCGCTAGAGGACGTGACTATACCGTTCATAAACCAATTACAAGCCTGTCTTTTATTGACTTTGTATTTTACACACGTACGACATTTCCTTTTTATTCTCGACAGTGATAAAGAACAGGGTGATTTTATCAGTAAAACGTTTGAGAAAAGATATCTCCGTTCAAATAAAAAGTGAAGTAAAGCTCAGTAGCTTTACGGTGACCGTGGTCTGGTCTGGACCAGCTGCAGACTACTTTAGAACCGTGACAAGATTGTACAATGTTCCAAGGTTTATCCATAAAACGTCCTTGATTTTACATATCCGGTAGAAGCTCTTGAAAGTGTGAAACTCACATATTGGATCTGCTAAATAGCCCAAATCAAACTTCACTTCTCCACTAAAAATATTTGATTCCATTTTCAGAATGTTTTGCATTAAATATATGGAATATCACCCACTTGCAGAAATAGCTATAGTTTAGAAGAATGTGCGATCTCACCTCGGTCGATATGGACACATGATATTGGAGTTTTCTTTTACACAATCAGAACTGTCTCTTACCTGCTTACCTTTCGACACCTATCAGACACTTTCCTCATAGCATCTGACTGACACAACTTCTTCGCACTATATGTAGCATATATCATAAAGCAAATCTCGAGCTCCTATACATGTTCTACCAACCTGATGAAATTAGTTTCGGAAGGTATGGACAGTCTACTCACCGAGTTAATTCTTTCAGACTCCTTAAAACAGACATTCAGTGTTCAGTGTAGTGACCATGGTACACTCATATATACACAGTGCACCATGAGCGAGCACTGTGCAGACTATTGTGTCTTCAACCCGCATCAGTCAATATAATAGTCAACTTGTGTTTCCTTCTTTCGTCACGACGGTGGTACAAGCAAATAGTGTCGGCCCTCCAAAGTTTACAGGATAAACCATAACATTAAAGGGAAAACACGCAGGTGAGAATTCAAGTGTTTAGATTATGTGGAGTCAAAAGTCTCCTCATAGAGGGACGAGTGGAACTTGAACAAGACATTCGTGTTGTTTAAAGGAAAGTGGATGTGCGGTTGCTAGGGTTGGTCGGGTGACGGGAAACGCAGCATATATTTTTTCTAGGCCATACTTCCTGAAGTGCACTCTATTAAACGCCTGACCAACTACTGGATCTAGCCACAGCTATTGGTCATAAAAACTCCTTGTTCTCACAAATTAGTTAACACATACATATATATGGTGTATTTGGAATCAGTGGTGCCAGAGTATACAGTGCAATTTTACAGAACTTACAGTGCAATTTTACGGAATACAGTACAATCGCATTAGTATACAGTGCAATTTTACGGAATACAGTGCATATATCCTATTAGTATACAGCTAATACAGTGCAATTTTACCAGTAACATCGCACTGTATACTAGTAAAATTGCACCGTATTCCGTAAAATTGCACTATATACTAATACCATTGAACTGTATTCTGTAAACTTGCACTGTATGCTAGTAAATTGCACTGTATTCCGTAAAATTGCATGTATTCCGTAAAATTGCATTGTATTCCGTAAAATTGCATTGTATTCCGTAAAATTGCACTGTATACTCTGGCACCCCTAGGGATCGTTGTCCTGAATTCCTTGGT